CGCTTCCGAGCCACGGGGGGGGGGATCGAGCCGGGGTGTGGAGGGTGTGTGGAGGAGACGGGGGGAACCGGTGGGATGGGGGGGACTTACCTCCTCCTGCTGCTTCCTCCTCTTCCTCATAGGTGTGGAGCTCCCTCCCCCCCTCCCGCGAGTATCGCGGGTACCACCCCTTGTATCATCTAATTCTGATGCCATATAGTTAATGGAATTAGTGGCAGGGATGTTATTATCATAGAACAGCTTCAGAAAATAGTCATACCAGTGAACTGGGGTGATGGCATTTATTTGGGCACTCTTCTTTTTATGTTTATCTGACACCAACACCAGAATTTCCTGGAGTCATTTGACAATGTAGCCTGAAGGAGGTTAGCCCATTGTTTCTCAGTGTGCTCTTTATATTTTATCTTAACTATTTGATGTAACTGGTTTTTTTAATTGAAATACTCATCTGGAAGGTGGGTCCAGTTATATTCCCTAGAAAGGTAGTAAATAGAATGGATTTGGTATTTAATATTATAGCATTTGCTATCAAACCATCCAACTGTATTTTTTTGGTCACAGTAATTTCGAGGCACCAATTGACTTCCAAGGGATTCCAGTAAGTAACTAATAGTTTTATCATAAATCTGAAAAACTTGGGTAACATCTCCATTTTGACTCAGAGCTACATTGAATTCTACTAAGATATTAGGATCCAGAAGGTTGGTCACCTTTTCTGCAACAGTAGGAGACCAAACAATTTTAGGCAGTCTATTCATCCCCAGAGATAGAGTGGAGGTAGTGCTTACTGGGCATTTCAGGGGATGCTACTGCAGTAGTCCAGTCTAGGTGTAACTAAGGCATGGATCACTGTGAGTAGATCTGACTGAACCAGGAACAGATGTCGTTGATGCACCAGATGGAGCTGTGCAAAAAACACTCTGAACCACCACAGCCACCTGGTTTTCTAAGGTGACCGCTGTGATGAGTAGCACTCCCAAGTTCCAAACCTGGTTTTTCAAGGAGCGTATAGCCTCATCCAAGACAGGACAGATCTCAAGTCCTGGGTCTGCCTTTGTACTAACCCAGGAGTAAGTTTCAGCTTGTTTCCCCTCATTCAGCCCATTACTAACTGCAGGCACCAATCAGTATCCTTGGAATTACGTAAGAAAGAAAGGTAGAGCTGGATATCATCTGCCTACTGGTGACACTGCAGCCCAAACCTCCTGATGGCTTATCCCAGCAGCTTCACATAGATATTAAATAGCATGGGGAATAAAACAGAACCCTGCAGAACCCCACAGGTCAGTGTGCAGCTTCACATAGATATTAAATAGCATGGGAAATAAAACAGAACCCTGCAGAACCTTAGAATTCATATATTTGGAGTCATGTGCCTGGAATACTTTCCTGTGCGACTGAACAACAACAAATCACTATGGCTTTTTATAATCACTGTTTCACCTTAAAATAAGCATTGGATGAGTAGGGGGGAAAGATCCTTTAAGACTGTCCAGTGGAGTATGCTGACACCGTCTGCATTCTATGAAACATTTCTGTGCCTTTTAATGGGCAAAACCTTTAGATGGACATATTGGGAACAAAGGTACCTTTGGTTCACTTAAGTAAACCATTGCTGAATGCATTAACTGTAAATATTTTCTTGTGATTGCCTTCCCCTAAAAAACTCATGATAGCATGCATGGTTCATTTCTCCCCATTTTATCCTCATAACAACCTTGTGAGGTAGGTTAGGACCAAGGGAATCCAGTGACCTTCAGAGCAGAGCAGAGCCCCCCTTCTCCCAAGTCCTAGTTCAATATTAATCATTGTAACACTGACACACAGAATGGAGGAAATGCCACCTATCCAATAAGTATGCTGCTTGCTTACTGGTGAGAATACAGTGTTTGGGAGCTGTAGAAACCTGTGTGCATGTTGTACTTTGACTCCCAGTCTTTCAAAACACTGTTCTGTAATTACTCTGTAGTACAATCAAACATAGATGTTTTCCACTCATGGACAGACTTGTGTAGTTGTCCCCAGCTCAGTGGCCACAGGGCTTTCATATGGCAGGTTTCCTGGGTAGTTTTTTGCTTTTTAAATCAGCAATCGAATAGTGAAGACAGACCACTGGATATATTAATAGAAGTGTCACCATCATCCTTAAGCAATGCTAACTGTAGATCTTGCCAGCACTTTATAATATTGTAAAATTGTGTGGTTTTAGAAGGTTTTATGATTTTATAATTGTTATCTATGTGTTTATCTTTTATGTAAGCCACCCTGAGCCTGCTCTGGCGGGGAGGGCGGGGTATACATTGAATGAATGAATGAATGATGTTCTCTGGATTCTCAGTTTCATTTTAAAAAGCCCCTTTCCTTGTGGAGGTATGCTTTTTTCCTTATATCTCTTCAGTGAAAGGGGTTCGAGACTTCTTTTTTAATGAAAACTGAGAATTGGTATAAAAGTGTATTGACACAATGCTATTCAACCTCTGATTTAAACAAGGAAGAAAAAAGCCATGGTGACGAAAACAAAATAGCTGTTGTAGAGAAATGGCTGCTGTGTGGGCAGCACCTAGCAGATCCCAACTTTCCCACCCGTGCAGCAGCCATCCAGGCTTTGCTGTGGTATTTCCCAAAACATTGGAGCAAAGCTGGTTTGGGAAAGATCAGAGGAAATCTGGAAGAACCCTGGGGAGGTACACAAATCCACCATGATGCTGTGGGGAAGCAGGTAAAAAAAAATCACTTTCCAACAGCATTGAACTTGGAGCAAATAACCCACGTGGAAACTCCAGTGAGTACTTTAGCAACTGTATGTATAGTTAGTATGTACAATATAGTCTCTTTGTCAAAATATAACTCTCTTCCCTGGTTGGTTGTGTGCAGCTCACCATCAGCTATATTGACACAATGATGCCCAGCACTGAACGTCAGCAACAACTGAAGCGTCAATATTGTTTTGAATGTGACTGTCTTATGTGCTCCACACATAGCAAGGTAAGATGGCAAACTAGTCTCTGGGTAGCAGTGGACTGTGTGCTAAGACTTGCAGTGTTGCTGTTTGTTGCTGTTGCTGTCACAATTCAAAAGGAAACAGCTTTGCCCTCTGATCCACTGTATGTTTTAGGGGGAAAGAAAAACATAACCGAAAGAAACCGAGGAAATGCCAGTGATAAGGACACAACTTTACTCAGGAAAATACAGGGTCTGGAAACTGGAGAAGCCTGTGAACATGTGCAAAAAAAGTCTCTGAATGTACACAAGATGTTTTCATATATGTTTGTTATATGTGTGTGATTTTTCCTTTCACTAGTAGCCCCTTGCACTTCAATGAGTGCCGCTCCGGAGGTTCCTCTGACTTTAGGATTAGCTCTCAACTACAGCACTATCTTTATACAAATGTCTGGGCTTTTTTCCCAGTGCGGATACTTATTTCCTCCAACAGAGGGCTCACTGTCCCCAACAGCTTTTCCTACATTGTCAGGAGACTTCCTGAGTCAGCAGAAAATTCCAAAAAAGTTAAAAAAACCTTCAGAGACAGTTATTCCCCCCCAAACCCTTTGAAATGGCCTCTGCAGAGATCTACTTCAGGCATCAACAGTGAGACATTAGAACGTTGGGGGAAGGAAAGCTTCTAACTGGCTCTGTCAGTAAAAGGCAGGAGGAGAGCCCTTTCCAGACCTCTTTTGGCCTTTGAGAGAGGGAGGAAGCCTTGAGGCCAGGCCTGATGAGGGTTGCCAGTGCCAGGCTGGGGAATTCCTAGAGATTTTGTGGTGAACTCTAAGGAGGAGGGCTGGGTTTGGGAAACTCAGCTGGGTATCATGTCATACCCTTCAAAGCAGCCATTTTCTCCAGGGAGACAGATCTCTGCTGTCTAGAGTTCAGTTGGAGGTTGGCAACTCTAGGCCTGGCAGCATTCTAGGGTTGCCGGGTCCCCCTTGGCCACCAGGAGGGGATGGGGGGGGAGAAAGGTTGCCAGATCCAGGCTAGGAAACTCCTGGAGGTTGGGGGTGGAGCCTGGGGAGGACAGGGCCCTTAGTGAGGTACAATGGCATAGAGTCCACCTTCCAAAGCATCCATTATCTCCATGGGAAGTTGTCTGGAGATGAGCAGTTATTCCAGGGGATCCCCAGATTCCACCTGGAGGCTGGCATCCCTAGGCAGCACCCTGTGGGTGACTTGATACCACCTGATTTGCATGACTCAAATTGCCACTACTCATCAACAGCCACCCTCTGAAGAAGTTAGAGCTTCAAAGGAGGGTCTGCAAGACCCAGGTTCAGATTCCCATCTTGCGGTGGATGTTGACTGGGTTATTTTGGACCAGTCACATACTTTCAGCCTAACCAACTTCACAGGGATGTTGTGCAGATAAAAAGGAGGTGAGAATAATATAAGCTGCTTTGGTCCCCACTGTGGAGAAAGACTAATTTTTCTAGGTAGAGGCTGTGTGGGACGGGGGTGGAGATGGAAAGCTGAAGACAGATAAAGGCAGATAAAGGTAGGTTGGCTGTTGGGTGGGAAGGAAACTGTGTTGCCAACTCCAGGTTGGGAAATTCCTGGACATCTGAGGGGTGGAACCTGGGGAGGGTGGGGTTTGAGGAGGGGAAGAACTTCAGAACAATATAATGCCATAGACTCCACCCTCCAAACCAGCCATTTCCTACATGAGAGCTACCATTGCCAGCCTCCAGGTGAGGTCTGGAGATCACCCAGAATTACAACTGTTGTCCAGGTGACAGAGACCACTTACCCTGGATAAATTAGCTGCTTTGGAGGGTTGACTCTATGGCATTATACCCTGCTGAGGCTGCTTCCCTTCCCAAGCCTCACTGTCCCAAGGCTCCACCCCAAATCG